TGTGTCAGTGCCTTAAGTTCCTCATGGAAAAATGGAAGTTTTCCTTCTGGGAGGGTTGTGGAAATAGGCTGAATTGATGAATTGGGTAGTGTACAGCCTATAGTAACTTTTATATACTAACAAATGCTGTTATTCCAGAACCCCCAAAACATGCTTTTGATGGGACAATCTATTGTTAATTCTAGAGGTGGCCTCTTGAAGAAATATGCAACACCCCATCCTCCCATCAGCACCCAGCCTGAGCACCAGCAGGGACCAGAGGAAAAACTGAGGCTAGGATAAAGGGATGTAAGCTCAGCAAGGATTTATCTGGGTTTCCCTGTGGGAGAGATGTTTGGGCACAGACATGCTCCGGGGTGGAGATTTTGTATGGAACTGGGAGACGCAGGCAGGTTAGAAGGCAGAGGATGGAGGAGAGAGTTGCTATTCTAACTAGGTTGTGGATGCATTGTGTTAGGTGGGAAGAGGCCCTTCTCTGAGCTTGCTGTACATGAGAGAGGTGGGCACACAGGGCAAGTGGGTGCACACCTGCTACAGTGAGAGCTCTTTATCTGCTTCACTGTTCCCCAGAGTCTGGCTGATTTGAAGATTTGGCTTTGGTTGCTCCATAGTAAAAAGGCCAGGGGAAGAATCAGAATGGGTTGTAATTTGGAAGGAGAGAATGAAGGCAGGTGGGGAGGGAGGGGTGGGAAACTACTCTGCAGTGAGCAAGCACTCCACTAGGTACTTTCAAGTCACTTAATCTCATGTGCTCTTCCTCTGAGCACTGTGAAGTAGGTAGCATAAAACCCCTGAAAATAAACAACAAAGGCCACTGAGCTAGAGGCCAGCAGGAAGTTTTGATGCTGATCTTTCAGGCCAGTTCCATCTCTTACGTTGCTCTGGGAGAATTTGGTGGTACAAAGGCTCTCAAATGCAAGCAGACTGAGTCAGAATTGTTTTGGAATGGTTGGCTGAAATACCGATCTTCTCCACACCTTCTGAGTTGCAGTCTTGAGAGATCAAGCCCGAGACCTTATGTTTTAAAATCATCTTAATTATCTTTGAGTGTGTGTGTATGTGTGTGAGTGTGTGTGTGTGTGCACGTGTGCGCACATGCACGCACACATACATGCCAGCCTAAGGCTTGAACTCAAGGGCCTCATCACTGTCTCTGAGTTTTGTTTTGTTCCATGGTGACACTCTACCACTTGAGCCACAGCTCCACTTCTACATTTGATGGTTAATTGGAGGTAAGTGTCTCACAGACTTTCTTGCCTAGGCTGGCTTTGAACTGTAATCCTTAGATCTGAGCCTCCTGAGTAATTAGTGTTAGAGGTGGTAGACACTGGTGCCCAGCTTAATTATCATTTTTATCGAGACATAATATTTGTACATCTTTATCTGGCCTGTACAATAATTTGATAGACTTTTATACTGTGTATTGGTCAAGTTCAGGATAATAAGAACTTTCATCTGGTCAAATATTAGTCATTCCTATGTATTGAGGAATATCATGATTTTACACTCAATATTTATTGCTAAGTTATACTATTTCCTCCTATTTAACTGAGTTTTTGTGATTCTTATTAATTTAATTTCTTTTTAAGTATTTATTTCTTTGTTCAGTTAATATTTTGGTGCCTGTACTGTGGTTTGTACTGAGTTTGAACTCAGGATCTCATGCTCTCTTACTGGCTCCACAATTCCTTCCACTTATCTTTGTGTCCAAAATCCTGTTCTGTTTATGTCATTTGAACTATCAGATTAAATGCTGTTAAAATTCCGCAGAAGATCTCAACTGAAATGTTTTGAATGTTACCTGGACATTGAAGAGGGCAAGGATTTGACAGAAATGCTCTGAGTGACACAAATAACTATACAGGGTCAGCAGTGGCACACCCTTTCTCTCCTTTCACCCTGCTTAGACAGCTGCTGACTTTCTCTTTGGGTCTTTGGACCTGCCTGAAGTCATTTGAAGTGTTTCCTTCTTAGGCAGTGCAGCTCTGAAGCCTCTATCAGGAGTCCAGGAGGGCTCTCCCAGGCCTCCTTACAGGACAGGAACAAAGGCTGAACCATTACTAAAAGAGCTGCCACCTCTCCCCGCAGTCCCATGACCCTCTGTAAAATGGGTACAAGTGTTGAGTTTGAATTTTCAAAACCCAATTGGAGCTCCTAATCATTTTCTTTATAGCAGACCGTGGATCCTTACAAAGAGAACAAAAATCTAAATGAACTATAAAAAGTAGACATTTCTTGAGAGACTTCTCCTCTTTTTTACCTCTGAGGACAGGGAATAATGCCCTTACCAAGGAGAGATGAGGACAGGGGACCGAGACTGTCCCAGGGAGCTCCAACTCAAGGTGTCAGACCCACATCTCTGTATGGTTGGGAGTAGAAATGGAGAGTGCACACAATCCCACAGCAAGGCTGGTGATGGTGCGTCATCACCAAAGGAAGAAGACTAAGCATGGTTTCCTGGACATTTTTTCCTCTTGGTTGAGTATGGCCTGGAAGGAAGCTCTGGCAAGCAGCCGGGGCTTCTGGTCCTCAGTGTCACCAAGATGTAGATCTCATCTGTCCCTTTCTGTCGTGAGAGGTGCCACTACATCTTCTCTGGGCTCTGTCCTGGCACAAATCCTCCTCTTCGGGCCCATTCCTTCCTTCCCTGCCCTCTCTCTGTCTCTGATGAATATTTGTGACCAATGTCTTATGCATCATTTCCCACTGTTTACAAGGTACACAAGGCATGAGGGGAAGGGGCTCTTTACAAAAGTTCAAGTCTATAATACTAGATACCTTAGAAAACAGAGATTTGAGGATCATGGCTTGACACCAGCCCAGGCAAAAAGAAACTTATGAGACGCCATCTCAACCAATGGCTAAGCATGGTTAAGCACCTGTTATGTCAGCTACAGGGGAAACACAATGGTTAGTATGTGCCTCTCAACCCCAGCAACTCAGGGGAACACAGGTAGGAGGATTGCAGCCTAGGCCACTCTGAGGCATAAAGTGAGACCATATCTAAAAAATAACCAGTGCAAAAAGGAGTTAGCGCTATGGCTCAAGTAGTAGAGAGGCTGTGTTACAAGTGCAAGGCCCTCAGTACTGCCCAGCCCCAACAAAAGATCATAACAACTTGGGAAAGTAGACATTAGGTCTTCATTCAGACTGAGGGCTTCTGTGGCTGCTGGCCTTTCTGTCAGTTACATCAACTTCACCCCTAAGTTAACACTTTCTCACCCTCAAATCTCAGATCAAATGTCTTTTCTACCAAGCATCTTCCCAGGCCCTCAGAATAGACCAGTCCTCCTTCCCTTGCTCTCAGTGCATCTTTTCCTTCTAGAAAACCCCAAGGCCATCATTTATATGTGTTTATTTGTTCAGTAGATTTACGATTTTATTGATTTTATCGATTTCTCTTCCTGACTTTGCATCCCATGAATTCAGATATATGTCTTCCCTGGGATCTGCTTGGTAGACAGCGAAGAACTCACTTCTGAACCAATAGACCAGAGCTTCAAGGGACTCAGAACTGGGGATCCCATCCTGCCCTGAAATTTCTAGCAAGAGCTTGCTTAGTCTCTGCTCTCTACATGAGTTTGCTCAGAATCTTATACAGCCATACTGGTTTTGTGTTTTGTTTTGTTTTTAGTCAGGCATGGGGCTTTAACTCTGGCCATAGGTGCTGTCCCTCAGCTCTTCAGTTCAAGGCTAGTGCTCTACCACTTGAGCCAGAGCTCCACTTCTGGTTTTCTTGTGGTTAATTGGAGATAAGAGTCTCATGGATTTTCCTGCCCAGACTGACTTTGAACCACGATCCTCAGAGCTCAGCCTCCTGAGTAGTTAGGATTATAGTGTGAGCCACAAACACCCGGCTGTTTTGTATTTTTTTTTTTTTTGGTCCGGTGATGGGGCCTGAACTCTGGGCCTGGGTGCTGTCCCTCAGCTCTTCAGCTCAAGGCTAGCGCTCTACCACTTGAGCCACAGCGCCACTTCCGGCTTTTTTC